GCAAACCCCATCCCGCACTCAGTGCGTTGACTGGGCTAAAGGCGCGAGTGCCTCCAGCGAGCGCGTCTGGGAGCCGGCGAGCCCAGGTTTCTTCTTGGCTCTGCGGGACGCTGCCCGGCAAGGACTGGGCGCCGCCGGCATCTCTCCGACGGAAACTCGGGGTGCAGCCTCTCTCTGAGGCGGGTAGCCTGCACTGGAGTCTGCGGTGTGTGAACAGATTTGTAAATCCGCACGCACTTAAGAGGATGTGTATGTGTTGGGAATCTGGTTTTAGCAAGATCCACGCTGGTTGGGGGATGCAGAAAGCTGCGAATTCCGAAAGCTGTTCCCCTTACAGCTGGTGGCTAAACCTCAACTGTAAATTATTTTTTAATAGATTTGGGTGGGCAAGTGGGCTTTTTTTCCCCCCCGGCAAACTATAATGGGAATGGAGAGCAGCATTTGGCCGGCAGCTCAGGCCCCGGGGCCCTTCCCGCCGCCCCCCTGCTGCCGGCACTGGGCGGGCGCTCGGGAACTCCCAGGACTGTTAACGCCTTCCCGGGTTTTTTCTTTTTCCTTTTGATTTCCCCCAAACCGATACGTCTCGTAAGCCAGGCCACATTTCATTGGTCCTCTCCCTCCCTCCTCGTCGATCCCCAGAAAGAAAATGACGGAGTGAGGACAGTCAGGGGCCCAGGGGGCCCGCGCTGGGCCTTCTGCCCGCGAGCGCCGTCGGGGTGCCGAGCGGGGCCGCCTCTCCACGGCGCGGCCCGCAGCATCTATTACGCACGGACGGCGCGGCTGCCTTTCTCCCTGGGACCGCCAGGTGCGCCGGTCGAGCCAAGGAAAGACCCCTTAACGTCGAGCGCTTCCGCTGTCCTGGCCCAGAGTTTACCTATCACCTCGGCCGATGTCACTGAAATTACGTTTCTGCCTTGCTGCTCCCGTGGTCCTCGAGGCCTCAGGGCCCGGGCCCGCGCGTTATCCTGGGAGCGTCCCTGGCACCCAGCGCGGCCCCTGGCGCACCGAGCGCTTCGCAAACGCCGGGCGGCTGTCCGTCCGCTTTAAGCCTGACCGGACGGCCTCCGGTGTCTCTGCAGCCTCCGAGAAGTCGGTGTGCCCGTCGCTGGACGAAGCTCAGCCCTTCCCCCTGTCCTTCAAGCCGTACTCGTGGAGCGGCCTGGCGGGCTCCGACCTGCGGAGTTTGGTGCAGAGCTACCGGCCGTGTGCGGCCCTGGAGCGCGGCGCTGGCCTGGGCCTCTTCTGCGAGCGCGCCCCGGAGCC